TGTATGGTCTGTCAATACTCTCCTCATCCTACAGGCCATACTGCAGCTTGAGCAATAGACCTCAGTAATACATCCAGTCACATCACTACTTTGTCAAAAGCTATTCTGGCTGGCTGTATATCAATCTTCATGACTAGATAATAAGCTGTTTACTGCAGAGTCTCTGCTTAAAGATAGTTGTATCCTAATGCTATCTCACTGCATGCTCACCATGTGGTCCACACATATCTGATGACTAAATGAATGCAAATTTCAGCTACATTCCTGTTTCCTAAAATAGTATCACAAGGAACAGCATTTATTTCCAATTGTTCCTTTCAAGTCTTCCAAATGATTCCTTTTTTCCATGTCTTTAAATCTCCTGGCCAAACTAATTTTATATGAACTTATGCCTTTTTCATGTGTTTCAGGGTCTTACAAAACATTGAACAAGAATTGAAAAATCTATTGAATAAATTTATATGGTCCTTTTCCCCATTTGTCACTTCTCACCTAAAGTTTATTCTGCATGTTAACCACTCGACCTTGAATTTCAGTGCTATTCACTTTCAAAATTAAAATAACCAAATGATCTTCTTTAACCTTGTCTACATAAACCAAGCAAAACAGAGGCACAAAACAAAGTTCCTTGAAACAAGCAAAACAAAACAAAACAAAACAAAACAACTTTCTCACCCCAGACAACAGAGACAATACCAGAGAATTATTTTTTTACTGAAAGGCTTATTTGTTAAGCACTTTTATGTGCTAACTCAGGGCTGAGAACTTGCATCCATTTCTTTTTCATCCCCTTCTCTAGTTTCATTTTGCATTCAATCTATTGAGGTTTCTTCCTTAGGCTTCCTTCTCCTATTTTTTTTTTTTTTTAAGTTTTTCTATCACCAGCATCTCAGTTTGCCTGCCCCTTCTCTTAAATAAAGTGAACTCATTTCATCCATAGTTGTCTCTCTCAAATAGTATTTTTAATATACCTGTACTTGATCAATTATATTCAACCATTAGTAATGCCTATGGATAAGTTCAAACTCCTAGCTGCATCAATAATTGGAATTCAATTTGAACAAATTATCACTCTGCATTTAATGATAACTGATATCTGTGGTAATTATTTTAACTCTGAGTTGCAGAACTCCTTTATTTTTCAGTGTAATATTCAATATTTCATGAAATTTGTAACAATCGTATTAGATATAAAATTGACTTTTAAAAAATAAGTTGGGCTGAAACCGGTTTGGCTCAATGGGTAGAAAGTCGGCTTGGGGACTGAAGGGTCCCGGGTTCGATTCTGGTCAAGGGCATGTACCTTGGTTGCGAGCATATTCCCATTAGGGGGTGTGCAAGAGGCAGCTGATCGATGACTCTCTCTCATCGATGTTTCTAATTCTCTATCTCTCTCCCTTCCTCCTGTACAAAATCAATAAAATATATTTAAAAAAAAATAAGTTGGTAATATTCTCTCATCTTCTTGTTAAAATTATCCAACCATGGGTCCTTATCCTAATTGCTCATCAGAGTCCCAAGGCAAAGTTTCTCAAAGTTTATTATGTTATGAATCAAATAGGGATCCTATTAAAATCCAAATTCTGATTGAATAAGTCATGGTGGGGCTTCAGAGTCTAAGTTTAAAAAAAGTTCCCAAATAAAGAATGTGTGCCTCCTTCAAATATTACATTTTAAAAGGACATGTTTTAAATAATATGCAGGACAGATTTAATGCTGGGCATGGTATAGTCATAATCATATACAATTTTAATCATGGGCATTGTTGGAATGTGTCTTTCAATAGTCTCACCAATTCTATGAATTAGGTACATCCTATATAATAAAAGAGTAATATGCAAATTAACCATCACTCTGCTACACCTACAAGCCATGCCCACCAGCCACGCCTACCAGCCAATCAGAGTGAGTATGCAAATTAACCCCAACCAAGATGGCTGTGGCCATGGAGTGAGTAGGAGGGAGGCATGGATTTTCCTGGCAAGGGAGAAAGCTATATTTTCCTGTGTATAAGATGACTTTTGAAAAGAAAAAAAGTCAACCGAAAATCGAGGGCAAAAAACCAAAACTGAACAAAAATTACCTGCAGATCTTGACTGCAAAGTAAGTCTTTTCTTTGAAGTGGAGGGTAGTCTTATACAGGGAATATAGGCCTAAACTTATGTTTTAACTGCAAAATTAGGGGGTCGTCTTATACGCAGGAAAATACGGTAAGCTTTTCACACACCCTAGCGGGCCCAGGCCTCCTCTCAAGGGTACAAAGTTTCAATTATAGAAGGTAAATAAATTCCAACAGAAATGGTGGCAGCCACGGAGCTGCAGAGAGTAGGAGGCTAGGGTTGCCCCTGCAATGGAGGAAGCCAAGTTTCTGTAGCCCTGGCCATCCCAGGCCTCCACTCAAGGCTACAAAGTTTCAATTATAGAAAATAAATAAACCCCAGATACCAGGGTCTCTGCTTGGGTAGCCCAGGGCATAGCTAGCCTGAAAAACACCACAGGCCCCTCACCCCATGTCCCAAGGGAACCCCCACCCTGATCTGGGACACCCTTCAGGGCAAACCAACTGGCCCCCACCCATGCACCAGGCCTCTATACTATCTAATAGAAGAGTAATGCAGATTGACCATCACTCCAACACAGATGATGGCTGCCCCCATGTGGTCAAAGATCCTGCCCTCATGTGGATACAAGATGGCCACCACAATATGGCCAGCAGGAGAGGAAAGTTGAGAGTGACCAGGCTTTCAAGGGAGGACAGATGTGAGTGATCAGGCCTGTAGGGGAGAGCAGTTGGAGGGACCTGGCCTGCAGGGGAGGGCGGTTAGGGCAAACAAGCTGGCAGAGGAGCAGTTAGGCATCAATCAGGCTGGCAGGGTAGTGGTTAGGGGGTGATCAGGCTGGCAGGCAGAAGTGGTTAGGGGCACTCAGGAAGGCAAGCAGGCGAGCAGTTGGGAGCCAGCAGTCCTGGATTGTGAGAGGGATGTTCAACTGGTGGGTTCAGGCCTAAATAGGCAGTTGACCATCTCCCGAAAGGGTCCCAGATTGGAGAGGGTGCAGGCTGGACTGAGGGACATGTTTCTCCCCCACTCTCCCATACACAAATTTTGTGCACAGGGTCTCTATTATAAAACCTGTTTGTCCATGGGAAAATTGAAGTTTAAAAATATTAGCAATTGTTCAAGTTCATGAACCTAGTAGTTGTCAAACCAGGTTCCCCATAAAAATAAAGCCTGCCTCTAATCACACCAGCACAGAATTTTAATTTAAGAAATATTTAGATAAATAAATGCACTTTAGGAAAACTCCACCCAGCTATATTACTTATACTCATCTGGTTTGGTTTGATGGATTCATTTTATTTATTCCTGTTTTAATTCTCACAGCTGAAATCTCTAGAGAACAAAAAATGTAACTGGATGCAGCTTACCTCTGTCATCTGTTCTGTGCTTATTACTTTCCTGCATATGGATATGGATATGGCTGTGGATATGGCTGTGGATATACTTGTGGGTAACTGGGTGGATACTGTTGATATGGATAATATCCTCCCTGAAAAGATAAAATTGCAGAAAATTGAGATAATGACAGTATAGATATTTCATAATACTTTCCATTAAAAACTTTGTTAAAATTGGTAGGAAGGTAGAGCTGATTATAGCCATCCCCTCACAGAAGTTTTAATATTCCTTAAAATATTACCAAGCTCCTTATTTGTCCATCCTTGAATTTTCCAAGGAGAAGGAATTAGCTAATTCCAGGTTAGGTAGAATTTTTCTGTCTCAATCTCTACTTATAATGAACTTACTATCTCTTCAAACTTCTACTTTCTTTAATATTCAATCCCATTAAATTCAATATCTTTCATCCCTCCTTCTTTATATTTTAATTTGATGTTAAAATTCATCTATTCAATATACTAATATTAGAAAGAATTTTGAGACCTTATCATGTTGAGATGGGAAATAAAAAAATACATTTCATTAAAAAAGAATACACTTCACTACAGAATGTCAAATTAATGAAATTTTCTCTTATTTAATAAGATCAATTTAACTTAATCTAGTGACTTTATCATCTTCCACAAGAATCAAAAGGTGAAAACTTACCACATTACCTGTGTCATTAGCAGCCTCTATGTTCTATTATGCATACATTATCCTTAAATAGCTATAGAATTTCAACTATTCTTTAGACAACTAGTTAACAAACAAAGATACTTGCCTTCTGTAAAAAATAAATTGGCTTTTTCAGGATAGTGTTATGAGTTTCTACCAAAATGCTACCAGTATATAACCTTTATGTCCTTTTCCACTAACTATATATATAAAAGCTTAAGCGACCATCACAACCAAATGGACAACAGAGCAGGCTGTGTTGGGGCAACTAGGCCAACAGGGGGGTTAGAGAGGGGCGACTAAATGACTGAACAGCAGGCTGCATGGGGCCACCAGGCCTGAAAGGGGGGCAGTAAAAGGCAAGTAGGCCAATGGGGGGGGGGCAGTTGGGGGCTACCAGGCCAGCATGGGGGCAGTAAGGGGAAACTAGACCAATGGGGGGGCAGTTGGGGGTGACAAGGCCTGCAGGGGGGTCAATTAGGGGCAATCAAGCAGGCAGGAAGGTGAGGCAGTTAGGAGCCAGTGGTCCTGGATTGTGAGAGAGGTGTCCAACCCTGAGGGGTGCCGGATAGGAAAGGGTGCAAGCTGGGCTGAAGGGATCCCCCCACCCAACTCCCTGTACATGAATTTCATGCACTGGGCCTCTAGTATCATAATAAATAAACTCAATGTCTCCATTAGCTATTTACTATATGGACATGTTTCAGAGATAAGGAGTGATTCTTCTAATAGAATAATTACTTAGACAGGAGAATTAATTTTATTATACCATGTTATCTGGGCAATACTTACAGGATATCTGTTTCTATAGTAACGATGTTTCTGTTAAAATAAAGAACAAATTAAAATTATTATCCATGTTTACCTATCAAGTTTCTAAGTATGTGATAATGTCTTACCTCTTCAGATGAAGAAGAATCAGCACTCTTGAAAAAAAAAAAAAAGAGAAAAGAATGAACATCTCAATTGTATAATTCTAGATTGAGTGTCAAATGCGCTTGGCTTCCACAGTTATGATTAAACAAAATGGAGGCAAAGCCTTAAGTAACTGATGCACAAAGTTGGCTGCTTCATGTTAGTGACAAAATGAAGACTAGGCTTAGGCTATAATTAATTCATTACATTCCAATATCAACTCACTTGGATCCAAATTTATTTTTTCTGATAAGGAAGAAAATCTACCACTCTGACCAGGAGAGTGAAAATTAAAAATTAAAATGTGGATTAGCTTAAGACCATGTATGTTCTCAGTTGCTGAAAAACTATGTACATTTACATATTGATTGTACAGGTACAGACTGGTGTTATGCTTATGGTTTTCTGTTCTTCCTTGGATTTTTATTTTGTTTGCACTTGCACTTCTGTGTGTGCTTAGTGTCTGTCTGTGTGTACTCAAGCTTTATTCTAAATCCTTAATGTACTGATGTAGGTTTCCTCAAGAAAAATGTGAACACAAAATCATGTTTGTGTGATAAAACTGGCCCACAACACAAGAAATGAGACAATCTCTGAATAACTCCTAAGAACATATTCTTCAAAATGTTCTGATATACTTACAATCATGGCAACCAGGAGAGCCATGATGAAGGTGAAGACAAAGATCTTCATGTTTGGCTGAGTCCTGTGAAAACATACATGACAGATCAATAACACACTCATTCCTGCACTTGAAAATCATTTGTAGAATCCACAGCTTTGGGAAACACTAGAAGTACAGAGAGAGAATTAAAGCACATCACCTGATGTCATAAAACTCAGTCACTAGTAGGGGACATTGATAAGTAAAGATAAGTGCTGTAGTTTAGAAATAATATAAGCAGGCAAAATAGATATCTTAGAAGAAGAAAAGGAGGGTGGGAAAAAATAAAGCAAAGGTAAACTTGTATTAGATAATATATTATACACAAAGAGATGTTTGGAAGAACAAAAACGAGAGAAAGGATAGGATATAGGAAATGAAATAGTTCACCAGATAAGAACAAAAATGTAGACTGGCTGACCATTTAGAATTTTGTGACATTATAGGGGCCCCACATGTTGACATATTGGGTAATAAGTAAGATATGGTTTAAAGAAATGTTTAGAAGTCAGAATTCAAGCAACAGAGACAGGTTTTATAATAGAGGTAGATAAAATCAGTTAGGTCTTATGCTTGAGGATAGTAGAGGTGGTGTAACCCTAGTGATAAAAATTTAATGATAATATAAAAAAGTCAAACTAAAGAGGTTTCAGGGGAAATAATTATAGATACATTGAGCAATTGGGTTGGTAAAAGTTATTTAATTTCCAAGTAGTGTTATTCAATGAAATTACCCTAATCTGGGAATTTTATATATGATTTTATAATTCAATATATACAAGTAGATTCAGTTCTGTTGCTGTTGTATAGGAAATAAGTCAGGTTATTTATTTCTTAGTTACAGACCTCTACATAAAAACATATTGTAAACTTTAAGGTAAATAGTGAGTATAAGTTTTTCCCCCTGATCAATTTTGGTCCTCAGTTTTGATAGAATAATAGAGTAATATTTTTCCCCCTGATTATAAAAGAAACTATTCTTCGGCCTAATAATTCTAAATCTCTAATATATGAAGCACAAATTGTGATTGATGCTATTTCCCTTGTTCCTTATCTGCTGGTTTTGTTCATTATTTTAAACTCAGGACTGTGTCATTGGAAAAACAAAAAATTATACATTTCTTGATGAAGTTTTTAAAATCATCTATTACTTATCAAATATTTAGTCATGTGATGATACAAATAAGGATGCAACTTCTAGTGTTGTTCATATTTCAAACTTTATTAAAAGTAGAGGATTAAAGAAAATTTAAAGAAACTGGTCTTCTATAGATAGATAGATAGATAGATAGATAACCAGATAGGTAACTAAGATATTTGAAAGAATATTATCTAAAGAACACAGTGATAAATGTTTGACATAGCATAAAAGTTTTTTCAACCAAATCACTAATGAATTAGTATGTTACATAAAATTAATAAAACAAAAAATCCATTATTCAGTGGTAATTATTCAGAAAATTATAAACTTTTTTATGATTAAAAAAACAAAAATGTAATGGAAATGAACTTGTGATAGTCATACAGTAACTATGGTAAAATTTGAAATAATACACATGCATGCAGAAATAGAGCTTATACTAATCAAGAGGTAATTTTCTTATAAAAGATGACCTTGACTTTTCAGTTAAAGGTAAAACCAAACATTAACAAAGTGGATATTATGTATTGAGTTAAGAAAATAAAAAAGATCCCTGACTAGTTTGGATCAGTGGATACAGCGTTGGTCTGCAGACTGAAAGGTCTCAGGTTCAATTCTGGCTAAGGGTTTGTACATTGGTTGCAGGCACATCCCAAGTAGGGAGTGTGCAGGAGGCAGCTGATAGATGTTTCTCTCTCATCGATGTTTCTAACTCTCTATCTCTCTCCCTTCATCTCTGAAAAAATATGTATATATATTTAAAAAAATAGAAAAAAAAAATAAAAAGACATCTAGGATATCCCCTCTACATAAGCACATCTCCTTCTTGTTCCACATTTCTTTGGTACAATGCTTGTTGTAAATGTAAATACATTGCGATTCTTTCCTCAACTTCAAATCCTGACATAAAGTATCACTTCTATAAATTGTTTCTTTATGTGAAATTACCAATAAATAGAGTACATTTTACAAATGGTGTACAACTTACTCTAATAAACAAAAATCAAAATAAGACATTATATCAGATTTCCCATGAATATATTACCTTTTACCCACGATGAGAGTTCAAGAAGCTGAAATTGCAAGTCCTGAAAGATAGTGTGCCTTTCTAGAGAACTGATGTATTTATATACCCTTATGAGATCATAATATTGAACTAAAAATAATGCCCCAAATCTGTCCCCACAGATACTAAGAATAGACTTAAATTTTACAATAAAAGACTGTGTAGCGGAGTAACCAGGAAACAACTGTGCCCATCACTTGTTAATCTCAGTATTTGTCTAGATATGCATGAATAAGCCTCAGAGATATGTAAGCTACAGAAAGGAAGTGTGGAAATGAATTGAAATGGTAAAAGTATTTCTGCAGAACATCATCTGTTCTATTTGCACAAACATGTCCAAGATGGACAAACTCCCTTCCAAAACGACACTACCTTGCCAAAATTTTTTTAAATATATATTTTATTGATTTTTTACAGAGAGGAAGGGAGAGAAAGAGGGACAGAGACCTACCCTGTTTCCCTGAAAATAAGACAGTGTCTTATATTAATTTTTGCTCCCAAAGATGCACTAGGTCTTATTTTCAGGGATGTCTTATTTTTTCCATGAAGAAGAATATGGTACACATTTATTGTTAAATGAAAATAAAGGAAATTTATTACCTGTATACGGTACGGTAGTACGGTAGTTGTCAACACAAACCAGACAAACTGTGAATCCTATAGTATAAAGAATTTACTCATTTATTCAATGACAATCATGTCATCATCTTCTAGAACATCATCATAACAATCCAATTCCTGAATTTCCTGGTGAATTTCTTGTGACTCCATTTCTTTCAGAATCAGTGGACCAAATCTCTCATGTTTAGCCTAGGGGGGGCCTTATTTTCGGGGGGATGCCTTATATTTCACTCAGAAGAAAACCTGTAAATAGGTCTTATTTTCGGAGGATGTCTTATTTTTGGGGAAATATGGTAGAAACATCGACCAGCTGCCTTCTGCACAACCCTACCGGGGATGTGCCCGCAACCAATGTATGTGCCCTTGACCAGAATCGAACCCAGGACCTTTCAGTCCTCAGACCGATGCTCTATCCACTGAGCCAAACCGGTTTCAGCCCTTGCCAAAATTTTGCTGGTTTTCTAATATATGGTGGCAACTTATAATACAATTAGAATCATTATTTATTCAAATATATCTCCTACAAGTTGTTATAATGTTCCTTTATTTCTATGGACTTTGAAGTATTTTAAATCTTATGGTATATTCAACAGTGTGTCAAAATGCACTAAACCAATAAAGTATTAGATAATAAAGACAATTCTTAGTATTAAAGTCCAATGACCACAGAAGCTCAGTTCTCTTATGTCTCACATAGTAACTGGATACTTGTTTGTGTATTGAATTTCTTTTTTTCAGTCCTTAGGGGCTCATGACCCTCCCTGGGAACCATGTTTAACATAATTCCACTAAATAGAAGGGAAAATTAGTTTTCACTAAGTCCCCAGGCAAATTTGTATAAAAATTCAGCTTGTTGCCATTGTTTGAATAATTAAATGTACTCAGAATTAAATACACAAAAAGTCATTTTTAAGTTTTAGGTATATTTGGTGTCTAGTCCACTATTACTCAAAATGTTGTTAATGTGACCACCAGTCAGCATCACCTGGGAGCTTGATGTGATAGAAAAGCAAATTCATAGGTCCTCTTCCCAGGCATGTTGAATCAGAATCTAGGAGTAACAATCTCACATTCTTAGTTTCTCCAGGTGATTCTTTGTTGAACATAAATTTTAAGAAACCACATAATTGACTCATTATGTGTCTATAAACCGGACCCTATAAATAGAATTTAAAGTTTCATTTTTTATCAGGTGGTTTAAGGAAATATTTGCTAGGTGAATCTTCTCTGCTATATTTGAACAACCACATTAGATGTTGTTATTTTCTAGGAGGTAAACAAAATATTATTAGTGATTTATTAAGGCAAATAAAATCCAACTCAATTAAAATAATAATAATTTTTTATTGATATCTACAACTTGTAGATAGTCAATTTTCAATGCAAAACGAATTCAAGGTCTAGTGTATTCTCAATAGATAAAAGTTATACAAGGTTTGAGAGTATAAAAATCAATATGATTTAAAAAATATATCCTGCTTTATTTAAGGAATATCAAATGATTTTCTTTCTTTCTTTCTTTCTTTCTTTCTTTCTTTCTTTCTTTCTTTCTTTCTTTCTTTCTTTCTTTCTTTCTTTCTTTCTTTCTTCCTTCCTTCCTTCCTTCCTTCCTTCCTTCCTTCCTTCCTTCCTTCCTTCCTTCCTTCCTTTTTTTTTCTTTTTCTTTTTTCTTTTCTTTTTTTTATTTTTTTTATCTCTCTCTTACTTATCTCACCTCCTTTCTTCCCTGATCTATTTCTGCAGTGATTTTTCTTGGGTCATGTTACTAGGCACTATTCTAGTAGATTTTTTGATATTCACTACTTCTGAAGAACGTGTAAAACAGTGATCCAAAGGCACTATTGGATCCAAATTGCAACAGTAGTTAAAGAAATAAACATCATGGAAAAAATGCCAGGAAATAAAAATTGACAGATGCTAATACACAAAATTAAAACCTACAATTAACTTTCCTATACTTTAGGTAGGTAAACCAAAATATGGGCATTGTTTCACACCTCATTTTCTGTTTCAAACAATAGGAAGTGTGGGGATTATGTGTGATAGGAGGAAACAAAGACAGTGGACTTTACACATAGGAACTGCCTTGTGTGCTACTTATGGGTTCATTCTCCCTGAACAGTAGATCATTTTAGAATATCGATGGACCAGAACTTATTCTGTTTTTTTAAATAATGAAGTAAAACTGGTATTATATAAACTACAACTAAACACAATACAGTTTGAAAATGTCAATGTCTTTCATACAAGGGAAAAAGCAATAAAGAGTGACTGCTATGTCACAAGTGTGGCATTTAATTAATGGCATAAAGATGCAATCTCTAAATGGGTATTTGTGATGATATTTATGCTGGATTTCCCTTCTTCTCTTCCTTTCCTTTTTTTTTTTCTTCTTCTTTCTCCTCTATCCCTCCTCCTTTTTCTCCTCTCCCTCTTTTTATTTCTTTTACAATGAACATATGCTATACAGTCTATGACAAAATCCATGATGTTTATTTACGTAGCTAGAAAAACAGTTTGTGTTATATTTGTGGCAATGACAACTGAGAATAACCACAGTCCTTTCTAATTGGGACTATAAATTGGCATTATTTCATTTTTTGTCTTCATGGCTTCTGCCTTGCTCAATATGAACATGGTTCAAGAGTAAATATTAGCTGAATAGTTGAAATGGGCTATAGACATTGGTTTTCTAAGCAATAAAACACTAGAGGCCCGGTGCATGAAATTTGTGCATGGAGGGGGTGTGTGTCCCTCAGCCCAGCCTGCACCCTCTCCAATCTGGGACCCCTGGAGGGATGTCTGATTGCCCGATGGGATCAGGCCTAACTGGGCAGTTGGACTTCCCTATCAAAATCCAGGACTGCTGACTCCTAACTGCTCGCCTGCCTGCCTTCCTGATTGCCCCCAACTGCTTCTGCCTGCCAGCCTGATCACTCCCTAACTACTCCCCTGCCAGCCTGATTGATGTCTAACTGCTCCCGGCCAGCCTGCTTGCTCCCAACATCCTTCTTCTGTTAGCCTAGTCACCCCTAACTGCCCTCCCTTGCAAACCTGGTCCCTCTCAACTGACCTTCCTTGCAGGCCTGGTCCCTCCCAACTGCTTTTCCCTGCTGACCATCTTGTGGTGGCCATTTTGTGTTCACATGGGGGCAAGATCTTTGACCACATGGGGGCAGCCATCTTGTGTGTTGGAGTAAAAATCAATCTGCATATTATTCTTTTATTAGATAGAATAGAAGCCTGGTGCATGGGTGGGGGCCAACTGGTTTGTTCTAAAGGGTGTCCCAGATCAGGGTGGGGGTTCCCTTGAGGCATGAGGTGGCCTGGGGGAGGGGCCTGTGGTGGTTTTCAGGTTGGCCACCCTCCCCAGCAATCCAAGCAGAGGCCCTGGTATTTGGAATTTATTTTATCTTCTACAATTGAAACGTTGTAGCCTGGAGTGAAGGCCTGAGCCAGCCAGGGCTGCAGAAGCTTGGCTTCCTCTATCGCAGGGGCAACTCTAGCCTCCTGCTCTTCCAGCTTCATGGCTGCCACCATTTCTGTTAGAATTTATTTACCTTCTATAATTGAAATTTTGTATCCTTGAGTTGAGGCTCTGGCTGGCCAGGGTGTGCTGAAAGCTTGGGCTTCCTCCATTGCCAGGAAAACCCAAGTTTCCCTCCTGCTTTGTATGGCTACAGCCATCTTGGTTGGGGTTAATTTGCATACTTGCTCTGATTGGCTGGTGGCCATTCAATATTCATGTTTACTTATCTTCTGCATACTGCATGTATGACTACTCTTTGGATTGTAACTTCATCTAGAAAGTCTCCTTTTTCTGATGTTGAAATTCCATCTGGAAAAAAACTCTAATCTGTACTTCCCGACATTGCTTACTCCCATTAGGCCTGGTTCCTTCTGTTGGGTGTAGCAAAGTTCTTGGCTGTTGGGTGTAGCAAAGTGATGGTTAAATTGCATATTACTCTTTTATTAGATAGGATAGGATAATTAACAATTAGAAGTGTTCCCTTCCCTCAAACAAATAGCATGATATAAATGCAAGTGATATTATGAAGGAAAATGATTATGCAAATACTTTAATTAAACTGGCATTTACCCATGATTAAGTCCTGAATGTATCTATTATGAACAGTGAATTGAAAAAAAGAAAATTGTAAAATTGAGCAGTGTCAAACACAACCAACCAGTTACATTTGTGAACATCAGTCATTAGAAAACCAAAAATATTTGAAGATTACTTTTGTAAATAGGCACATACTAAGTACTTTGGATGCCTGCTTCAGATATAATTGTGGGCTTTGGGCAAGATCCTGTTCCACTCTGGGCTTTAGATTCCTTTATGCTTACTAATTTCCTGTCCTTCCATGAACATTTGCTAATAAAAATTCATTCACTGGCCGAAACCGGTTTGGCTCAGTGGTAGAGCATTGGTCTGCGGACTGAAAGGTC